CCTCGGCCTGCTATTCAAACGTGTCCTCAGCTGCTACATAAATAATTATAGAAAATAAGTTGTCAAAACAGCAAACAACTAGGTATAGTTCCATTATTCAACTTTTGAATCATTCTCAGACATTTATTTGTCATCCGGTTTCAACAGTTTCGTCCGAAACCGAGGGTTGAAAGTTGCGATACTTAGCACGTCACAGCTGACGCTCTGCCCCGCTTAGGTTACAAACTTAGAAATGACTACGGTATATTCTGTTTTCCACAAGCACTGACTTCCCCCTCCAACCCGCTCTATCTCCATAAATTTTTCAATAACAGATTTTGACCACTCTCAATTACTGAGGAACTTTCAGCCATTCTTTAAAGCGGTCCATAGCCCACCGACCACCTAAATCGCAGTTTATGCTACTGGCAAACAACCAAAATGGCACATGCACCTGCGAATTGTTCCTTTGCCGGGATAGCAAATATTACTTGTGGTTCGATAAAGACAATTTTTTTTACTAAATATGTGCGTTGTCCAAGTAAAGAACCATCTAAGCAGCTGTAACCTTTCACGTACGAAGGTCACCGAATATGATCTAATTTTGGCAAGGGCGGGAAAATTTAATCGTTCGCATTAATAAGTAGAAAAAGATGGTGGTTTGCCTTGCCTATAGGCACAGTCTCAGTATAATTATACTAGTGGCCACGTAAAACTGTCCTTATCCTTATCCTGGCCATGAAGGAAAAAAGGTTGCCCTTCACTGTAAAAAAACCAATTAACTGCAAAATAGCGCATTCAAGAAATCCACGAGATTTTTGTTACCCTTGTTCTTGTGAGGTCACGTAAGTATTTTCAATTGTTCTGTTTAAATCCTGCCTTTTATATCAAAGAACTGGTTGGGCATAAATAGATGGGAAAAAATAAAATAAATATATACAAAGAAAAGAAAAGAAATATACAAATAAAGAAACGTGTACAGAATAAAAAAGAAAAAAAAATAGATCCTTTCTGAGAACATAGAATTATTTCATAAATGGAACTGGTTGATGTAAAAGCTTATTCTCATTTTTTCACGTCTAGGGTTTATTTGTGCTCTAGTAATTCAATTAACATTCTGTGAGTGTCTTAAAAGAAAACCAAGAGCCTGAATATCTGCCAGGCTTGATGTTCTAACAGAACAGAACAGAACATGTTATATAACATGTGTCATGTTATGTTATATAACATGTGCCATGTTATGTTATATAACATGTGTCATGTTATGTTATATAACATATGCTATTTTATGTTATGTTATATAACATAAAATATGTAATGTTATGTTATGACATCTAAATTGTCAGTGTTATGTTATATAACATGTGTCATGTTATATAACATATGTCATGACACATGTTATATAACATAAAATATGTTATGTTATATAAAATAAAATATGTCAGTTATATAACATGTGTCATGTTGTTATATAACCCATGTTATGTTACATAACACATGTTATTTTATGTTTTATAACATATGTCAAGTTATGTTGTATAACAGGTGTCATGTTATATAACATATGTTATGTAATATAACATATGTTATGATATGTTGTATGACATGTGTCATGTTATGTTGTATAACAGGTGTCATGTTATATAACATATGTTATGTTATATAACATATGTGATGTTATGTTATATAACATGTGTCATGTTATGTTATATAACATATGTCATGTTATGTTCAATAACATATGTTATACAACATGTGTCATGTTATGTTATATAACATAAAATATGTTATGTTATGACATCTAAATTGTATTCATTTCAATGCAATTGTGAAAATTCCGTTTTATTTGCTTTGGGTGAGAAATATAAAACTGCACTTATTTAGTAAGCAGATCATAAACTTCTCAGTTGAAGAAACCCTCTTTATTTGAACCATGTGATAGATTCTATTTTTTGTAGCTGTGGAAACGTGTTGTTTCTATTTAGGCTCTCGCCCATACAAAGAAGATTACCAGGTATCAAGAATACGTCATAAAGGGTGTCAAGGGCATTTACCCAGCCCTCTTGCAAAGTTTTCCAGTGTTTCAACATTAGAGATCATCGAATGAACTTCATGCGAAAATAGCCAGGCCACTAAGCGCAGTTTAGATTTTTGCTTGACGTAAAAAAAAAACTGTCTCCCTAATCACCTACTTGCCTTTTGAAGGCAACCTCATGTCTCGGACTTAATGTTTCAATTCAGATTGTTGAAATGTTTTCCACAGCAAAGAAAGTTTGCTAAAAACGCACAGTATATAAGAGCTGGGACAGCAGAGGAGTAAGGGCGCAGCGGCACAAGGGAAAGAGGGCGTTCCCCATCACATACTAAAGCTTGTTCAGTCACCCCTGTTAACTTTGTGAGCCTGAATTACTCTCAACAGCAATTTGTTCTAAGTTCCGGAAAAGTCATTCTCAGGCTATTCAAAGACATTCACAAGTCGATTTCTT